AGTGGCGCGCTTACCACTCGCGCGGTCCTGGGTTCGAATCCCGGGTCGACTCCCGCCCAGGCCAACCAAGCCTTCTACCCTCCGGGGACGGTAAATTGGTACCAGATTCGTCTGGGAGGATAAAACACTGACTTGTACATCGGCTGGCCCCCGCAAGTCATTGTATAGGCCACATAAGCCACTACGATTCTGAATGGAAGTAGAATGCGTGCCGCATCCCACAAAGGGATTGATCAACGGCGAAGATTTTATCCTTTTTATCCTTTATTGTGCAGGAGGAAGTTATGATAAGAATTGCGCTGAAACGGCAATATACCTTTAAGAGCGCAGCTCTTAAAGGTATATTGCCACTACTTTACTACTTTCATGTGAAGCATGTAGCCACGCCTTCCTCACCGCTGGGATATGGAGTGTATACATAGTGAAGGTTCACTCATTGCACCTATTTACTTCCTTTCTACTGAGACATTATTGAAGCTTGGCAGGCAGACGAAAGCGGAAGACTTACATGTCCATTGTGAATAACGGCGATATGCTTGGACTGATTTTCATTGGTGTAGCCGTATCGGAGCTAAAAGGAAAAGATTTCCAGTGCTATAGAAATGCAAGCTCACTTTTGGATCAACTGGTTGATTTGAGAAGAAATTCGACCTCGAAAAACTGGTATTTGTGAGACACTGAGTAATGTAGAACTACAGTCTTGTTCGCCGCGGATGCTGGGCATGTCAGGGTTGCTGGGTTTGGCGAGGGGCCAGGGCGTTCTCCACCAATGGTTGAAACGGGCAAGCGACAAAAACTGGAGGAAGACGAGCTAGAACCGCGCCAAGCCCAGCCTCTCTGACACGCCCTAGCATCCTCAGTGAACAGGGCCGTACACAATTCGAACGTTAGGGAACTTGTGACTTTTTGGAGGCCTTGGAAGATAGAGTTGAGGCTTTTAGTGATATGATCAGCACATAGCAAATTTCGTGAAGATGGCGACATTTTCCGTTTACTTCATATGCACCAGTTACTTCACTCTTGCACGGAACTCTTGAATGCACCCACCTCATCACAACCTTTTCGAGGAATGCGAGTGGTCCCATACATGAACATGTATTGGCTCATGTCAAACGGCGTCTTGCCAGCCATATCCTGCGGAATTTCGTTTCTGAAAAAGATTATGGGTTGTTTAGAAGCATAAGGTCGCAGATGTTCTTACTGTTCAACATCTATTTATCTGTTATTATGCGGTTTATTTACAGTAGTAATACCGGGCAGTTGATTTAAGAGGCATGTCAGGGGTCCGGAGACGACGGCTGACGGCGCGTCAGCGACCGACACAAGGCGGCGAATTCAAGTGTTATTCCCAGCCTATTTTAGGCCAATTTTCTCTCAAAAATTCTCACGTAGTATTATGTTTGCCTTCCTAGGTAGTATGTTTTATTTGACCTTTATGAGTAAATGAATAAAATCGGGACAAGGACTCTTTCTTGTTTTTGTAATGAATGTTCTGCGATTTTTTAGGTATTTGTTCGATTGTTTGTTTATTAATTGTTCGCAAAAATCAGAGGAATCTCAATCATAATTCACCTTGTGAAGACAAGGAACAACTAATCCTCGAGAAAAGCAGCCAAAAACAGTGAAAATTAGGGAGAAAATGGCTAAATAGGCTGGAAACAGCTGATCGCCGCGGTCGTGACGCGCCGCAGCCGCGTCTGCGACCCTTTGACCGCCTAATCAACTGCCCGGATGACGACTGCATAGCGTTGTACGGATGTATGCTTTACTTGCGCTTGGTCTCACAATCAAATCTCAGATCGGCTGCGGCTCGGACCAACCAAGACTTCCTCCTTTCGGGCTGTAATCGCGCACCAGACTTGTTCGTAAATATAAGAACTCTGACTTCTATATTCCTGACCCCTTGAGTCTTCCACAGTTCATACTGCTTTAGTATGATAACTGCTGTTTACGCCGCAGTTCGTGCTTCGAAAGTCACCACAGAATGCTGACATATGGGCAAAAGTCGGACCCGGGACGGCGAACCCGAATCTCCCACTCACCGGGCGGTTGCGTTACCCACTACTCTACCGGGGCTGCTCTGACCCTCTCAGCTCAATGAATTTTGTGCCTAAGTAAGTATGGAAAAGTCAAACCTGATTATTTTCAAGTAGAACTCCACAGCGGCCTGGGTGATTTTTGCGGCATGATCTATCTGGGTGTCTTTACCGGTGTTCGGAAACAGAGGGAACATCAAGCCTGGAAAAAGTATGTTAGGGTTGAATCCACTCTTCTGATTATTGCGTGCACAAATGAAGCTCACCAGGAGATGTATTAATAGGGAGGGGTGCGCGCGATTCCAGATACGCAACCTTCAGCCACCATGGTGTGAGCTGGAAGAGGTAAATATTGTGATGTGTTCTGACATGACACAAACTATCACATATTCGAAAATTTAGCGCAGTTCGGTTTGGTGGGGG